ATTTTACCAGTCCTGGCTGCCAGGGCCTTGGACCCTTCCCCAGCTTGAGGAAAAATCCAAAAAACCCCAAGCCAGCCCCCCTGATGAGTACTATCTAAATTCTCATGAGGCTCCAGAATGCTTCAGAAACTTCTCTCCCTGGGACATCTGGCATTCCTCTGACTGATGGGCCATTTCTCTAAGATGCCTTTGCTATAGAGGAGTTAATTTCCGCTTTGTAGGCAGACAATGCCTCAAATGCCCAATCCAATGGGAGAGCAATTATGCTTAAGTATGCATTGCTCCCTTCCTTAGCTAAACCATGGCCAAATTTATGAAGATGGAGAGAGACAGAATAACATAATCTATACAGTGATAACAGTAACAAACGGATACAGCATGTGGCCTTTTCAACAAAACCGCACATGCCACATCAGTAAAATACACAAAAGAAAACATTCATGACACTCCACAAACCACCCAAAAAGGTGTTCTGAGGAGTAATTAATTAACATCTGAACACTGCTCTGAATCTATGAAGTACTAAAAGTACTCACTAGGAGCATCTACATATATGCTTTACTGAACTGGCTAATTAGCTCTGTAGTAAAACTTCACCATCTACATATGCAGCGCTATTATGCTGGAGTAAAACTAATTAACTCTACCAAAGGATGGTACTGCCCAACACAAGTACTAGCCTACACCTGGAGTTATTTAGTGTGCTGCAACACACATGCAGATGGTGACCAGGGCTGGCTGGGGCATTATGGTGCTACAGGATGGGGGCTGCCTGCCAGCTAGCTCTGCACTGTAGCACCTTCATGCCCCAGCCAGCCCCTTCACAGTCCACTGAACCAGGGTGGGGCAGTTGCAGGTTGGCAGGCTGATCCCCTGGGCCCCCAGCTAGCTGGGGCTGTGTCACCCCAGCTCAACATGCTGCGGTATCAGGTACACGTGTAAATGCTGTGCCTGGGAGCAAAAAACTCCAGCATGAAGCATGCTGGAGTTTATTCAGCTGTGCTAATTGCAAATGTAGATGCACCCATTATCATTTAGTTAAGCACTCAATAGCCAGCTGCATACCTTAATTTACCCTTCGATGATGGTAATATTTCTCTTTTGTTGTTCTTTTAACAAATAGGGGTCTAATGCTTATGAACAATTCTGTAATTTGGGCAACTGAAGCTTAGTAAGAAATTTTTATAGACACCTTACAAATATAAATCAATTTATAGGAAAGTGATTGCCATGCTACCTAATATCATAAAGAGGTGGGGGGGTTCTTCATATACACCATGTTTTTCTCTATAATCACTATTTGTGCATTAAGACACAATAATAAAACTTCTGCAACCTTCTGCTCCTTTAAAAAATGCTTTTGTATCTTGCCACCCTAACAAGAAGAATACCCGGTTTTTAAAGTACACTAATACAATCTTTCACATCAGCATTATCAGTAGGATATGTTTAAAAGGACAAACCTGACTGTAAATGCACTCTCCAAAGATACATGATCATCAAGGTATGTAATTAGGCAATAACGTACATCTTTTATAGACGATGGCACTTTTACATCTGGTAACAGTCCCTGAATCAGGTGTTCTCGGTTAATCCTGGGTGTCCAGTTAACCTAAAAATGTTTTTTTTCATAAAAACTTGTTATATCACATTCTTCGTTTAAGTCAGTGCATAATGGTTTTCACTTCTGCTGTTTAGTTTTAGGACTAAGAGTCCTAGACTTTTCCAATAAGCTATGGTGTTCACATAGATATAGAATTTTACTCTAAAGAGAGCTTACATTCATTATTCCCTACCATAAAGTTGTCATGGTAACAGGACAATACTGTAAAACCTAACAAAGACAAAACATCTAATTTAATTCGATGGCACTTTGCCTTGGTATCAGGTCTCATACCTATATAGAAGAGGAGGAATGTAGGAGGGGAAACAGGTTCTTCATGAAAAAAATCAATTTGACCTAGGACTCGTGATGGAGAAAGAGCCCTCACATCTCAGTGAGTTGCTGATGTATAATAAGAATAAATATACTGTACTTGTGGCACTCTGGAAGATAGTAATCTTGGCTAAGACTTTTCATACTGACATTGTATTGCCATTAATCCCCAAAATAATGTTATGCATATTACACAACTTACTCTTGTGGCTGCCTATAAGTTCATCACGGGGGCACAGAAGGGAATTGGTGAGTATTTATTCACCAAGGCGCCCCCGGGGGTTACAAGAAATAATGGCCACAAGCTAGCAGAGAGCAGATTTAGATTGGACATTAGGAAGAACTTCTTCACAGTTAGAGTGGCCAGGGTCTGGAACGGGCTCCCAAGGGAGGTGGTGCTCTCCCCTACCCTGGGGGTCTTCAAGAGGAGGTTAGATGAGTATCTAGCTGGGGTCATCTAGACCCAGCACCCTTTCCTGCTTATGCACTCTTTCCTGCTTATGCAGGGGGTCAGACTCGATGATCTATTGAGGTCCCTTCTGACCCTAGCATCTATGAATCTATGAATCTACTCAGTTGGGGTCTTTTACACCGTATGAACACAGCTTTAACACTCCATTTGATTTTGAAAAAGTGAACAAACATTTATTAAATGAGAAAGGCAATATAGTATTCTTTCTGTGCTTGTACAGTCATTTTAGTTTCTCAAGTTATTTTAGCTGTAATGGGGCTCCTGTACCTAACGTTTTAGAACAGGGATGTCCATGGGGTGCATGTTGTCTCTGGGAGGTTAACCTCAAGACTCTAGATTCCTGATTCCCCTCCCCACTCCCATGGTATCTGCCACTGTCTCCATGCCTCAACTCCCTCTTCCTGCTTTCACTGCCTGTCCCCACCCTTGGGGATAGAGTGAGATGGCATGGTCCACAGAACTAAGGGAATCTGCAGCTGAGCAGCAGGAAAGACCAGGAAATCTGACTCAGCATGCCAGCACAGTATGGAGGCGGGGTAGGTATGTCCACACACAGCACAGTGTGCAAAGCATAGGAATGGTGCAGTTGGGTGGTGTGCAATGCATGGGTCATTAACAATGGAGGGGTGCCCTCCATGGTTTATGGCCCAGGAGAGTGTGCAGCCCCGCAGTATTGTGTGTGGCTGGGGGCGTGGGGGTGCACATATAGTCCCTAGCCTCTTAGAAGTCGGACAGCCTGTTTTAGAGAAAAACTCTCGTAAAGAAGCCAATATATTTTTGCTTTCATACTGTTGAAGGTCTCATTTACTCCAAGGTTGTGAAAGTTAAGTTTCCTTAACCTACCTTAATTTTTTCTGCTACAGTTGAAGTGATGTTGATCTCTCTTTCTCCTTCATCATACATTTGAAAGATAAGGTTGTGCATGACATCCCCAGCAATCCAATTAATTTCATCCTGATGTTTGATTTGAATAGCTTTTTGTCCTTCCACACTTAAGATCTGCAATCTTGCAACATGGCTACTGGGGAGCAGTTTAATAGTCTTTTCTATTGGTGGCACATTTTTACAACTCTAGGAATGGCAAGAATATTTTAGGTGACATTATTAAATATGTGAAAAACATACCTGAACATTTTTTTCAATATGTTACCAAGTTTCACCCTTCACTGCAATGGATAAGAGTCACTGAATTTCACTGATCTGAAAAAAAACTAAGATCAGATCCTGGCTTATTGGTAGCAAATCAAAACAATGCTCTAGAACAGGGGTTGTCAACTGGGCGTAAGCATACCTCTGGGGGTACTTTAAGAAGTCCCAGAGAGCAGGTGGGGACAGTGTCGTCACCCCACGCTGCTGCCTCACAGGAGCAGGGCCAGCACACGGCAAGGGCAGGGCTGCACAGATGATGTGCTGCCGCCGCTCGCCACACCCCTGCTCCATGTCTGGCTGCTTGCCCCCCGCCCAGGAGGGGGGGTACATTTATTAAAAAGGGGGCCACCGAGGGTACACTTATTAAAAAGGGTCGAAAACCCCTGCTCTAAAATACCAAACTTGATTTTACAAATTAAAAAACAGACTTTTTAATAAGGAAAACAGAGTAAGAACTGCTACAAAAAGGGTTTTCATAAACTTACAAGTATGTTATGAGAAAGCACAAACACCAAAAAGGCAGGATTCCTAAAGATTTGTTTTTAGAGGCAATGTGCACAGCAACTCCCATGAACATTAGTGGGATCTGTAGGATTCAATACCCTTGGGAAAAAATGTGCAGTTTGTCCCTGCTGCCAGAATTATTTACTCATTTTGTTCTAATAATTCTTTAATACAAAATGCATAAAAGGTGTTGAGGAGTCCTGGTTTTCTGGATGCCTGCTTATTTTAAAAAGTGCAAACCAATATCCTGTACATAAAGGGACAACTTAGGCACCTAAATCTAGATGTGGATTTTAGGTTGAAAATTCCAATATCAAATAACAGACTTCTCAGTGAATCCTAAGACTAGAGGAGAGCCAGGATTTAAGACATGTCTCTTCAGTATTCCTACTAGCAATCCCACTGCCCAGTGAGCCTCTTAGGCTGGGAATCCCAAGTCTAGGGGCACCCATACACATGCTGGATGCCTGTTCTGACACACTAATTAGCACACAATTATTTGAGTCTGCCGGAGCATGTTAATTAACATGCTCCAGCAGCTTGCATCACATCTACTCAGCATCCCCATGCTTCAAAATGGCAGCAGGGGTGCTTGAACTTTAAAGCCCTTCACTCTAGAGCACATGTAGAGACACCCTTGGTGTCCAGCTTTCTCCATGTAAAAGGCCATTAAGGCATTTCATTTTTAGCTATGGCAGTATTTAGCATTACTGAGCCTATGTTCCTTTTTGAATCTTGCCCTCATGCCATTGAGGACATGTTCCCATGCTTACATCAAGGCTCCAAATATTTATGTAAAAGACTAATTTGATTAATCCAGATTCAGGGTGAATTTTCCAGGATAGCTAGCATCTAGGACAGGCAATCACACCAAGATCCTACCAAATGCAGTGAGAACATCTAGTCAAACCCTCATGGCAAGCAGTAGAACAGATACATATCTAAGTAGAAAAGAAAACTAAATTTTTTTTACTGATGTGTTGTATGAATAGTAATATCATGGCTGTTACTCTCCTGAAAGCTTGAAAAAGCATGCTAAGAGTGACAGTGGAAGAGAGTTTGAGGGAGGGAAGAGTTCAGCATAACTGGCTTTATCTTGATATCTTCATGTTTTCATTTTAGTTATGAAGTTAAATGTGACAATGGCTGTGAATAACAGTAAATGTCTTTGAACCACAAAGTAACACCCACCCCCTCCGAGTACTGAGAGGAATATTATACAAGAAGAAATTAAAATAGAGAATGAGGGTACCTAACAATAATAATGAAGTAAAAATTATTAAGAAAACAGAATAATAAAAAAAAACTCATCAACATAATATAAATAACAAATCTTGGGGGGAAAAAAACACTTTTGGCTTGCATAAAAACGCTTCTACTACTAAGTCTTCTTAATTTATAGACTGCAAGTCAAAGCCATGCTCTGAAATAGCCATAGTAATAATTTCTTGCAGCTCTCTGTGCTACTAAGCTTTCCTTATGAATTTATAAGGATAGTGAAAAACTCTCTGAAGTAGTCAAGGAAAATATTAACTGTTTTTCAAAAAGATTGTTAAGTAAAGCAAGGTCTGTAACAGATTCTCTTACTCATTTTTGAAGACACTTCTAAAAAATATATTAATATCCTTGTTTTTAGTAGAGCTGTGGTTGATGTTTGAACAGAAAAACCAGTGAACCCAAAGCTGGGAGCCCTACAACTCTACACTGGACCCAGTTAGCTACCTAACATGTGAGTAAGTGGATATATACCCCTCTCCTGTGGTGACACAACGGTGTACGTGATAGTGTTGGTGCACCGCCTGACAGGCCATGCTCCCTGCTTCAGCAACAGGCAGGAGGGCAGGCGGGAGTGCTGGTACCCCCCTGGCTGGTGCTTGCAGGGGAGTGGGAGCACCAGATGTAGCACCACAGCTACTTCCTGGTCAGCCAGATTGGCTGCAGGGGGACCACCCTGGTCAGCATTATTGAGGACCCCCCCCAAGTCACTAACTGGTCAATGGTGGGGCACGTGCCCCCCCTGACTAAGGTGGCACCAGTCATCCATACCCCTTTCAATTGCTATATGTCATTAAGGCTGCTGACGTGTTTAAAAACAATTTAAAAAAAAAGTGCTTTACTGGAAGAAGCAGCACATTAATCTGAACTGGCTCTGCAGCGTATGTGTAGATTGGGCACTTCAGTGGGGCTTTTTGGTGCTTTTATATATCAGGGGTGGGCAAAATACAGCTTGTGAGGCCATTCTATCCAGCCTGCGGGGCCCCTAAAAATTTAGAAAATTAGTATTTCTCTGTCCTTGGTTCCTGTCATTTTCAACAGGAACCAAGGGCAGTAGGACCCAGGGGAAGCCTGGCGGGCTCCCACAACAGCAGGACCCACCCTGCCCTGCCTCCCCAGCGAGAAGCCCCAGCCAGAGCCAGAACGGGGAAAGGGGTGGGGTAGGGAGGGCAAGGGAGGGCCCCTGGCAGGGAAGGAGCCCAAAGAAATGTGGCCTAGGGAAAAGCTGAGCATGGGAGAAGAGGTTGGCACCCCGCGCTATAGCCTCTTGCAGCCTGTGTGGGGCTGCCTGTCCCTGCTCCAGACAGCCCCGCATGGGCTGCAGCAGGGAGCGCTGGCCATGGGGCATGGGCAGAGCCACTTTCCCCCCCCCCATCCCATGCTCAACTTTTCCCCATGCTCCTTCCCGGCGTGGAGGAAAACAGCCCTTTCCTGCCCTGTGGCCAGTGCTCCCTGCTGCAGCCACTTGCAGCCTGTGCGGGGCTGTCCGGAGCAGCGTTGCAGCAGGGAGCGCCAGCCAAGGGGAAGGCAAGGGGCCGCTTTTCCCCGCGCTCAGCACCAGCTTCTTCCCTGCCGGCGAGCAGGGGGTCAGGGCTGTGCACTGCCCGCCCGCCTGTACCGCAGAGCTGGGGAGGAACTGGGAGTGAGTGGGCAGGGAGCCAGCAGGAGCACGGGGCCCACACCAGCAGGGCCCAGAGCAGGGCAGCAGAGGTACAGGGTCCTGGCTGACAGGGGCTCTATGGAGCTGGGCCAGTTCCTCCTTCTCCCTGCTGGTGCAGCCCAGCCTGGCTCTACAGACCTCTGCCAGCCTGTGCCCTGCTTTGGGCCCACCGGTGCTGGCCCTGGGACATTGGTCCCAAGATGGTGACCAGGGGGTGGGGCACCCTTCAAGGGACAGGGCTACCCATGCGGCCCTTGACAGCCTGCCAAAACTGGGTAAGCAGCCCTCCACCCAAAATAATTGTCCACCCCTGCTTTATATGAAGTTGATTGAATCAGCTATTAGATAAAAGCACAAAAAAAGCCCCACTAATGTGCCTAATCTATACCGACATTGGGTGAGCCAGGTCCATCTACTAATGTGATGCCTCTACTGAATATGCACTGGGCTCTGCACAGGGGAGCACCAAGTTTAAAGTAAAGTGCCGGGTTTGGTTTTTTTTGTTGTTTTTTTTTTGGGGGGGTGGGGGGTAAGCAGCCTAAATTTGCAGGCTACCACTTAAATCCATTTTTATACCAGTCTTTCACATTATTGTTCCCTGGTAGTTACTTACAGGTATTTCAATCCTTGCTTTGAGCATCTGGTCCTTTTTTATATTTTGCACATGTATAACTGGTCCAGTTAAAATATTTGTTCCAGCATTACTGCAATCCACAGCATACAGAGGAAGTTCTGGAGCACCTAAAAACTATTTAAATGCATAATTAAAGTGCATTTTTAAGAGCTTATTACATTTAAACAAGTATTATTTTTTTGCAATTTCAAAAAGGTGTACATGGCTCATAACTGAACAATTAGGTTGGTCTCTTCCTTTTACAAGGTGTGCAGTCTAAAAGCCAGATTTGTCAAACCAAGAAATGACAACTAATAATAGGACAGATAAGGTTACAACAGAGGCATTCATTTAAAAAAGGGAAATATGAGGGGACACGATGGACACATCTACATGAGATGTTTACCTTGGCCACAGTAAACATCTCACATCTACACCTACAGCCCTATTAGGCTGCAGGAAACTAATCAACTGCCCAGCAGAATAGTTGGTAAATACAAGTACTATACTGCTGTGGAGTTATTTTTTTACTTGTCAGCACCGCACACGTAGACACTGACACACTTGGGTGTTTCAAAAGGATGTTTCAGCATGGGTGCTGCCTACTGGCTAGCCCCATCCTGGTATCCTGATGCTCCAGCCAACCTCTGAGCGGGGTCGGAGCAGCTCTGGGCTGGCAAGCTTACCCCTGGGGCCCCCTGCCAGCTAGGGCTACTCTGACCCAGCTCAACATGCTGTGGTCTTGGGCACATGTTCAAAAGGCGCACCTGGGGGCAATAAACTAATGTAAATTGCACCGGAGCTTATTACTTTGTATTAATAATGTGTGTAGGCTTGCCCAATGTCTCCTTAGTAACAAAAGGGTAGCTTACAGGTTTAATTTTCAACAGCTCATGTCATAATAATAAAATGTTAGATCCACTCATCATTTGAAGAGTTTTGCTATTATAATTACACTGATGAACCCTTCTAGTTTAGAGATTAATACTGTTATAAATGCTTTGGATTTGTTTACCCCAGTTGCCCAACTGAAATAACCAACATCAGCAAAAGCAAGTTATGACACATTATAACCTGCCTAATATCCACTCCCCAGGTAACCTCTCCACATTTTACCAACCATATTCTTTCCCTTCCCTCCCTCCCCATCCACTGACTACTGCTACATTCTTTCCCCTTCTCTCAACTCACCACCCTCCACCCGTCTCTCACTATTGACTACTTCAATTTGCATTTTAACTGACTGGCTTTCTTGCATATGTACTGGCCTTTGGCTGCTTTATTACTCCATCCAGAAAGAGCACAGAACAACGACAGATGCATTGTCTGCTTGATGAAGGGTGTTTGTACCCAAAACCTGGCAAAGAACAAATTTTTCCAACTATCCGAGTTGGTCTAATAAAAGATAATCGGATTTACCCACAGAACCTTGTCTGCTTTTGCCAATTAACAGCATCTAAGTGAAGTTTTGCTACTGCAAAGTGCTGTTTGGGACTGGGGGGAGCAGGAGGGTGATATGGCACACATGCATATGGCAGCCAGGCAGCATGGAGAATAGCTCCTGCAGCTCCTTGCAAGGAAGTCTATGGGCCAGGGGGGGGGGGGGCACAGACAATGCATTGGGGGTGAGGTGGGGTGGGTGGGACAGGTGACATGTTGGAAAGGGGGGCACACACATGCCCCCCCCCAGGATCTGTGTGCCTACAGCTGGCATAGGGCTACAGCCTGGCCAAACTGACGCAGGCAGGAGCTGCCTCTTCAGCCCAGGAGCTGCCTCTTCAGCCCAGCAGCCAGGACCCAGAGCGGGAGGGCAGACCAGGGCACCGAGACTTGTTGTCGCCTTTGCCAGGACCCCTGTGCCAGCTGCACTACCCACAGTGTGAGGAGTAACGAATGAGGAGGGGGCTGCTGCCCTCACTTCCTCCTGTTGCCAGCCGCTCATATGCCAGGTTGCAGCTCTACCCTGACACCATGGTCCAGTTGCCACTGCTGCTCCCCTCAGGCCATGGCTCTGCCCAGGAGGGAAAGTAGTGTAGCAGGAGCACCGGCAGCCTGAGACAAGTGGCAGCACCAGCTGGATCATGGCAGTAGGGCAGAGCTGTGGCCTGGCACCAGAGGCTGGTGGCAGGAAGAGGTGAAGGCAGTGCGGCCCAGCCGCCCACCCATTATCCCTGGTGTTGCTGGTGGCGCAGCTGGTGCAGGGGTCCCAGAGATGGCAATGAGTCTTGCTGCCCAGGGCAGGTGGCAGCAGGTTGGGAGTGGCACCACCCGGGTCAGGGGGCTATTTTTTATTTAAACTATTTACTGGGTTGGGACTGGCCATCGATGTTTACAAATGGACCCTGGTACAAAAAAAAAAAAAAGGTTGAGAAACTCTGCTCCATTTGATACACTACTCTGTGCCTGTCCTTTCACAACACCTGATGAAGTAAGCTTGGGGTCAGAGAAGGTTATGTTATATGTACCTGATTTACTTAGACTAGGAGTTGCAAATCTACCCCACCTTCTGCCTGACTTCACACTAACATGGCTAACTACCTCTCTTTGCAAGAAATTCATCATTTACTAAGACTAACAAATTCAAATGAAGACTGTTAATCCTTGGTAAATAAAAGCCCCCCCTCTCTCCCCTCCCCAAAACACCAAACATGCACTCTGGGTTACATGGAGTTCCTAAATATATAAAGCAGGACTTGGAGTATACTAACACTGTAATTAAATAACTTCATTCCCATATCTTCCTTCTCATATCAGGTTTCTATAGCTCTCATATTCAGTCAGGAACTTGATTGTGGAAGCTATGGCTACTGACAGTAAATCTCAATATAGTTTGATTGACAGCCAACCCTTTAAAGCTAGTGTCAAAGCAGAAGTCTATTCTATTGTAAATAAAATTGAACATACCTTACAATGAACTATCAGTTTTGGCTGGGATGTTATATTTCCAGATTCATCTAACACTTCAACTTGGAAGGGGAAAGCGGTCCCATTTTCAATCTTTAGAATTTCAGAATCTGGTTTCACTTGCAACTGATGAGGTGGGCCTATAGATGTACAATTTTAATGCGGAGTTTGCATTTCAGAGTTACTGGTCATTTGATTTTAGTTTTTCATTGCAACACAGGGAATTTCAAAACCAAGCTGCGAGGGGAGAACACTAAACACAATGCATATTTACACACATATTTACTCCTCTGCCTAGTAGAGGAGTGCTGGCTCATGGCAAAACTCTTTTGACTTCAAAGGGACCTACATTTTTTATGCCAACATATCCACAGCAGTATGGTAGGACACTGGACTATACTACTACAGATCTGCTCCATGGCTCAAAAGAATAACTGATGTTAAAGTCAGTAAGTACCTTAATGCTAAAAACTTTGAATCTTAAATCACAAATACAAATGCTCAATACCAAAATATACCATTTTCAGTAAAAAACTGAATGGAAAAGAAATAATTTGTTCACAAGGTAACTTGTTTCATGGAAGGGAGTAGGAGGGTAGCAGACTACCATTCTGGACCATAAAGACAAGAGAAATATAACAAAGTACTAAATAATTGTACAAGAGTATGAAAAAGATTTTGATCATTAAAAAAACAGAATAAAAATTAAATAAAAAAAATCTTATCACATCCAGTCAGGCAGCCAATTTCTAGGAACTGGGCAGAACTGGAGTTTTGAGGCAACAATCCTAATAAAGAACACACAATTTGCTTTGCATTTCTAGTCTTCAGTTGTTGGCAGGAATAAATAAACCTTAATACCCAGGTTGACACACTTCTTACATATAAGGTTTTTTTTTAATATTATGTTCCCTCCCAAAAAGATATGATTAACATACTTTATAACGTGACATCGCTAATTGCATAACACTTACCAGGCAGTAATCTGATTTTTAAGACCTGAGAGTCTTCTTTCAAACCAGGAAGAGTAACCTTCAGATTAAAGTTCTAGTCAAAAGAACATTTTAAAGATTAGCCTTGAACAAACACATACGTTCTGTTTAGATAAATTCCCTCAGATAATTTATATGGGAGTTGCATGAATTTCCAGAATACTAGTAATATCTTCTGTATTAAATTGTAAATTAAGCCTGTACCAAAATTGATTTATGTCATTACTTCCAGAAATATCAATTCCTTTAGCCATATACCAACCTGCATGAATCCAGAATCACTACCAATTAATATAACTGCTTAGATGTATGCGTTAATGGGGACAAAACCACATGTAAAAATATACATTTTTTAAAAAGTGGTATTCAAAACCTGTCTTCATCATTTGTTGGCTTTCTGCTTGGAGCAAGACAAAAATGAATGAAACAGCAAATTCTGAGTCTGGCTAGATAATACAGTTAACTCCGTTACCTATAATTACTTGTAGCTGCTCATTTAAAGTTGTATCATTAAAACTGTTCATTATATTAATCCCGGCTCCAATAGCCTCAACTTTTTAGGAGTCAGCTCCAGAAGGGAACACTGCAGTTTTTAGGTATTTTATATTTTGTAGCCATTTGAAAGTATTTATTTATGCATACATTTTCATAAGTATGAAACAAAACAGTCACACAACTAACTCTAAACACACAAATTTTAATAAACTTTTTGGAAATACATCTTCCTCTCCATCCCATCCCCAGAGAAGTAAACTATGAAAAAAAAAAATAATCCAAGAATAACTTGTGAAAAATGTTATAGTGAAAACAAAATTGCAAGAGGCAGAAGAAATTGATGATGTAAAAGAGTCCAATTAAGGTTCTTGGACACTAGAAAAGCTCTACCATCTACAAATCTGTAGTAAATTTTAAATTCACTCCAGCCTAACTATACATATGATTCCTCTGTGTGTGGACTGGATAGATGGTGTGAAACAAAATTGTCCTCCAACAGAAAGGATAAACATTAATATTTAGGTATAACCCCATTCATCCTGCATTGTCCATTCTGCCCTGTAAATAAGGCCAGCTTTAACTTTGGTGCATCTTAATTATGAGTCCTTCACTTACTAAGGCAAAGCTCTCTTAACTTTATTCTGTACAAAAAAATTATGATGAATAATGCTAAACATACCTACTGTGTTATTTCAGGTTTTAACTGCATGTAGAGACAACTTACCATGTATACATATCAGATAACAACAAAGATGTTCTAAACATGTTGAGCCCCAGCTCAAGTCTGGGATCGTGCCCGGTATGCAAAGGCCAATAAAGATACCAGGGGTGAAAGTATAAAGAAGATTTATTGCTAGCAATAAAAGGTGCAAGCGGAATAATTTCACGTAACAAGCACACAGATTCTTAATTCTAAGCATCTTTTATACAGGAGTATTGGACCTTCATAAGCATTCTTGTTTGCTAATTGGTTATAAAGGAGTGACGCAAGGAGTTCTTTACTGAGCATGTCTCTATACCTGTGTTTTAGCTATGTATCTCATTTACATACATGTATGTTTCATTAGCATACTTTCTCCCCACCTAGGGGCGTCATTTTTAGTATTTTAATGAGCTCTTTGCCCTAGTCCTCTGATTCTGCTTTTGTTTTCAAGCCTCCTTTATCTAAGACTGTCTCCTCCTTATCATTGCAGATGGGCGTTAGTTACATAACAGAGACTTTTGCTTGGGCTTTGTATAGTAGTTTCTAGGTCAAACCCCCCCCCCAGAGGTTTACTTTCAAATAAACATATTGACCAAATAATAGAAACTTGACATAGCCCAAATAATGGGAATATGCTCCTAGATTTTAATTTCTGAACAAAGGGAAATCCAAAATAAAATTAAGTGGAAAAAATGATAAATGTATTATTTTCTTGCAGTCTAAAGCAGCAATGCACAGCAATACAAAACATGTTGTTAACGATGTATGTTACAAAGGGGATTAAACCATATTACATTTATAAAATACACAATCCTCATAATCTTCCCTTCTGTCTGTTATCTTTTCCTTTTCCACCCTTAATTTCTACCTCTCTTGTATGACAGTTCATTGACTAAGGTTTCTTATCTACCTGCCTCGAATTCAGAGCTGTCCAACTTCCCGGCAGTCAGGGACCATACGCCATGGGGGCCACATATCCCACCAGGCCACTTGCATAGCTCGAGTAGCCCAGCTCTCCCCAGTCTCCCAGCTGTGTGCACCATGCAACATAGGGAGCCTGGCTCTCCCATGCTGTGCATGCAACACCTGCCTCCCTTCTCCTGGCCACATTAGCCCTTCCCCTGCAGTGTGGGCAGACTACCTTTTTGCTGTGCACACCCCCCTCAGGCACTCCAGTCCCCTCCTGGCTACAATGACAGGAGAAAATGGGGAGGAGGAATGGTGGTTAGACTGAGGACCACATATAGTCCTTCAGGGGCTACCAACTGGATGGCCCTGCCTGCTCTAATTCAATTTCCATCCTTAGATCTATCCCCTTCAGCCCCTCTACACATTACATTTATCACAATAATTGTGGCCTAATCAGAGGGTCCCAGCATGTAGGCCTTCTCCCATCATGAACCTTAAACCCCAAGTTTGAACTCACACCATGCTGTCCCGGGGCCGGGGCAGACAATCAGCTGATTGCTTGCACCAGTTCTGGGACAGTTCTGTATTATGCCAGACTGTTGACACCTGGCTTTCAACTTGGTGGGGAGCTCAGGATCATGACCTTCAGATCCCTCTGCAACAGCAAGTAGAAAAAATGATTGGGATTGGATTCCTGATTCCACATCGTGCCTCCTGCTATGAATGTGTGGCCCCTTATAGGCTTAACTTATTGAGAAACACAAGCTTTCATAGGCTACAGACCACTTTTTCACACACTATGTCAGTGTAACATTCCTATCATCTGACAAATTAAGCTGTAGCAGATATAAGCTCATGCCTTTTTTGAACAAGTTAAGTCTATAAGGGGACGCACAGCCATGCCTTCTATACATTCACACAGTTAGCTAAAAACTTCATCTACAGCTTTGTCATTCTCCACTCTTTCACAAGGTCCCTACAGTTAACCCAGTCAGCCACCATATAAGTATTATTCGTTTGCTTGTGCTGTCACTACTTAAATCTGCATGCTGAATGCCTTCATTAGGTTTCCACACCGAATACAAGCTTGTATCACAATCTTGCCACAAGTTACATTTCTAGTCACTTGTATTCTACTCCCAATTATGTTTTAGAACTATTGCCTTTTTCCTCCTTCCTCACATTTTCAGCTTTACATCTTTCCATATGCCATCATCTATTACTAGGAATAAATCTCTTGTTTTCAATGACCATGTGTATGCTCGCTTGTCTTAAACCACTCTTCTTCCAGCAATCACGCTTGTCTTCTCATTAACAACAGTTCATAAGTTTCTGAGGTTTTAAATGCATTATTTCCTATTTTCTGTCTTCCCTAAATTAAGACCTGCATAACTGCAAGAACTGTAGGTCAAGAAACATGTCTTAATCCAAGAACACAAAAACACATTATAAGTATACAATAAAACAAGTCATTTAAAAATAAATTATCCATGGTCCACCAAAATATTAACTCACATTAAAAAAAAAAACAAAAAACAAACAAACAAAAAAACTTATGGACTCCATTCAGACATCAATATAAACAACAAGCATGTTTGTTAACCAAGATAGCTGTAACCATTCAATTATAATAGCTTATTCAAAACCCGTTTTACATGTAAATAACCATGTGATTTTATTACATTGATCAAATTTAAATCCACTGGCCTACCTTGCCTTGATAAATATTTACGAGGCCTTTAGCAGTGACACCCTTAATGGTACAATTTTCTCCTTTTGTTATTTCTTCATACTTTAATGTCAAACCACTATAAAATAATTAAAATTGAATTAAAGATAGGCAAAGCATTTTAGTTTTCACTAAAATAGAAACTAACACTCATAGGACTATCTGAAAGCAGCAACAAGCAACATTGGTTAATTTACGTTAAGAAAACATAGTTCACTATTCTGAAACTAAATACATAAATAATTGCATTTATAAAGTTACAAAGAAGGGAGAACAAAATTAGATAAGCTTACTTACCTCGCTTCAAGAATTGGGTCAATATGACTTGTCAGTTGTGTTGCATGACCAAACTCATCTTGCAAATCCAAAGGAATATTAAATGGTACTCCAACTCGAAATGGAGGATCCAAAAGACCCACGGAAAATTTCTCTGGCTTACCCTCTAAGAGAGAGAGGAGTATTCATATATTTTTAAAAGGACAATTTTATCATCTGTACGTATATTAGATTCTTTTTCATTAAGCCATTGGGCTGGCAGCATACAGTGTTTTTTTTGGGAAAAAACGGAAACGTTTTCTAAAATACACTTCTATGGCTAACTGATTATAGGAACAACTTTCCATAGAAGACATACAAAAAACTAGAACTCTTGGTTCCAAAATGATACCTTTTATTAGACCGACTGGAAAATGGCAAGAAAACTGTCCTTTTCTGCAAGCTTTTGGGATCAAAGTCCCTTCGTCAGGCTCTGGGAAAAGTGTAGATGGTACAAGATGGTAAAAAGTCCCCATAGGTAAGAAATAAACTTCATTTTTGCACAGAGGGAGCTGAAGATGGAAGTCTGTTCCTCTGGGTCCATGAGAGCGTCTTTGTGAGCTGTGTTGAGTAGCTCTTTGATGTGTTGATCAGGTAGAATTCCTTTCCATAGAAGATACTCTTCTTGGGGGTCCCATCTAATTTATGAAGTTAACCCAGAAGGGAATGTTTTGAATACGTAACATTCTCTGCCTTGACTTAAGGTTCATTCTTCATTTTTAGGGCTGGATGAAAACAGAATTCTCAACCTGGATCGTTTTTAGGGAAATGTGGCTGGCTTTTTTCCAGACATCCATGTATGCATAAATAATTATGATTAAAAATTATTTGAACAGATATGGACATATTTTCTGTGCTCTCTTCCTTCTCAAAGAACACTTCTTTCTTCCAAAAAACTACTGAAGGAGCAGAAAAAGTAAATGCTCAGTAACTCTGTGGATGACACCAAGTTTGGTGGAATTGTGGACATTTTGGAGGGCAAGGCTAAGCAGCCTGCTTCACTGGCCCCTGGTGCTTTGCTTCCTGATGTAGCTTTGAAGGTCCTGGCATGCAATGGAATCTGAGGAATTTTCTCTTGGAGCCCCATATTTACACATCCTGCTATGTGTGTGTCTGTCTGTACAATTTTTGGGATCCAGAATAAGTGTTATGAAGAAGTTTCCAAGTTATAATTAGCCATGTAGAACTATTAAAGATATAACATTCTCAAAAAATGACTAAGTAAATGTTATTTTGGAGCATATGTGGATGGATTAGAATTTATAAGAGGGAAAATAAGATAAAATATAGTGGAAAATGTTCTTTCCACATTTTGTCTAGCTTCATTTAAATGTAATTGCATCTTCTGATTTGCTATACAAAAATATACAAGTAGATAATTAAGCATAAAATAAGGATATTGATGTTCTGAATATAAAAAAAAAAATCTTACAATAAAAATCCTTACTAACAGTAAGAGGAAACTCTTAGTGTTGAAACTAATTTCAAGAGAAGCTTATGAGGGTTTAGCTTTGTTTTTCATTGATTTAAGATTTTTAGGGCTGGATGAAGCATAAGGGCAGAAGCATGAGCTGTAAAACACCAAACTTGGTTGCTCAGAAGGTATTAATACAAGGCATCTTTTTCTGTTTGACCACTTGATAACCTCCCATTGTTCTACTTGCCATTTTATCACTATAGAAAGTACTGACTCTATTTTCCTTAACCAAAATAGAATTTATTTTGCAGCTGGACATAGGACTACATATCTTTAAAATATGATGAATCAGAAATAAGAGTTTAGCATTCATGAAGCATCCTATTCAGGAATACGAATATAAATTGAATTCTTACCTACAATAGTAAACTTAAACATTTTAGATGGTAGAGGCCTTCCTGCGTAAGTGTCTGCATTACTTTCATTCACTACCACTTGCAGTTTCAGAGTGTAGCTTCCAAGCTTGTGAATATTTTCTGTATAGAATCAGATATAAATGAAGTTAAAAGAAAAAAATATAAACCTGTTAATAAATCGTAGGTACTATTTTAAAGTCAACTCACCCATTTTTTTAAACCAGTAAGGCCATTTTCCTCCATGCTGACTGATATGTGAAATGATTTCCTTATTGCCGCTTGAAGCTTAAACAGAAAAAAAAGACAACTTAGCTACATAAACTCAGGTTTAGTATCACAATGTTAATGTTATTGCAATAAATAATACTTATTAAATACACACATCATTTTCAAATTAAAAAGAAGGGAGAGAGAGGAGTTTAGATTCAAATCACACTTATCAAAAAGTAACTTACTGAGAACTAGGTTCTTAGAAGATTATAATTTGAGGGGAAAATAACCACAAAAATCAACTGAAAATGGGGGGGAGGGGGGGGGAGGAGGAGAAGGAAGGTGGAAGAATCTATTCTTCTCTTGCCCAATATTGTTTTTTTTAGGGTTTTTTTTAATGGGATATCTGATTGCTTAATACATACATACCGAGTACATTGTGGAAAGCTTCTACTGAAAAACAAACCAAACCGTCTCGCAATTTGTGACTACATGATTCAGCCAATTTAAAATGTGAGCATTAAATGTTACCACTGTATATTTATTCATCTGTTCTTGTACCAAAATACATGCATTTCTTCATTAGCCTGCTAGATGTGGCTATGTCCAAAATCTACTTGCTCTGTTATATAAGTTATAATTGTGAATTCTAATATTAAATTTCAATAGTTACTAACTTTTTCTTAAACAGTTAGTATAAAACTGTTTTTCTCAATTAAGATCAGACTTCCTTGTTGAGAAGTATTACCACATTACTGCTTTTATTTGGACTGTCCAAATGCAGTATATAATCAATACCTGAAAATCAAGCATTTCTGACAAGTTATGTCACCTCTCTGCAACTCCAGCCCACCTGTACAATGCAAATAGTATTGGGGAGATATGCTCTCTTACTGTAAGCAAAGGAATAATAAAAACCAATTCTTCTGGTTTTTATTATAGAAAGCTGGCTGGACGGGCAGGACCAATGAGTAGTAATCAGTGGCTCAATGTCTAGCTGGCACCCAGTATCAAGTGGTGTGCCCAAGCAGTTGGTCCTGGGGCCAGTTTTGTTCAATATCTTCATTAATGATCTGGAAGATAGCATAGAGTGCCCCCTCAGCAAGTTCATGGATGACACCAAGCTGGGGCAGACAGGGGTTGGGGGGGGGCGGTGAGGAAGTGTATATATGCTGGAGGATAGGGCTAGAATTCAAAGCTTTAGACTACTTGGAAGATAAGGCCAAAAGGAATCTCATGAGGTTCAACAAGGACAAGTACAAAGTTCTGCATTTAGGACTGAAGAATCCCATGCACCAGTATAGGCTTGGGACCAAATGGCTAAGCAGCAGATCTTCAGAAAAAGACCTAGGGGTGAGGGGTCTGTGGGTACTCTACTACCTGGGTAGCAGTGATCCAGTGATCATCGCCTGCTAGAATTTACTATCCAGCGCAGGGTGATGAAAGCAAGCAGTAAGGCAAAGGTCCTTGACTTCAGGAGGGCCGACTTCAAATTGGCTAGATGGTCGCACCCAGAGAGTGGTGATGAATGGGTCGTTTTCAACCTGGAAGGATGTGGGCAGTGGAGTCCCCCGGGGCTTGGTCCTGGGGCCTGTACTGTTCAACACATTTAGCAGTGATCTGGATGTGGGTGTGGAAAGCACGCTGTCCAAATTCGCTGACGATACCAAAATGTGGGGCAAGGTGGGCATGCTGGACGGGTGGGACAGAATCCAGCTAGATCTAGACAGGTTACAGAGGTGGGCAGATGAGAATAGGATGGAATTCAACACAGCTAAGTGCAAGGTACTGCATCTAGGGAGAAGGAACCAGCAACACACCTATAGGCTGGGGAACACCCTTCTTGTCAAAACCGTAGCAGAAAGGGATCTTGGAGTCCTTGTTGACCCCAGGATGAACGTGAGCCGCCAATGCGAGGAAGCAGTCAGTAAGGCTAACCACACCTTGTCGTGCATATACAGATGCATCATAAGCAGGTCCAGGGACATGATCCTTCCCCTCTACAGTGTTGGTCAGGCCATAGTTGGAGTACTGCCTCCAGTTCTGGGCGCTGCATTTTAAGAGGGATGCGGCTAGCATTGAGGTTCCAGAGGAGGGCCACCCGCATGGTCAAGGGACAGCAGGTCAGGCCCTATGAAGAGAGGCTACAGGGCCTGAATCTATTCAGCCTCCACAAGAGAAGACTGAGAGGGGACCTGGTGGCTGTTTACAAACTCACTGGGGGGACCAGTGGAAATTGGGTGAGGCTCTGTTCCCCCAGGCACCACCGGGGGGGGGGGGGGGGGGGGGGGGAGGGGAAACAAGTTGTTAGACAGAAGGTTCAGACTGGACATCAGGAGGCATTACTCTATGGTTAGGGCTGCCAGGCTCTGGAATAGACTCCCAAGGGAGGCGGTGCTTTCTCCTACCTTGGGGGTCTTCAAGAGAAGGCTGAATAGGTATTTGGCTGGACTGTGGTTATGACTCCAGCACTCGTTCCTGCTCGGGGCAGGGGGTCGGACCTGATGACCTGTTTAGGTCCCTTCTGACCCTAAGCACTATGAAACTAAGCTGGATGAGTCAACAGTGTGCCCTTATTTCCAAGAAGGCTAACAGCACACTGGACTGCATTAATAGGAGCGCTGCCAACAGATCGAGGAAAGTAATTCTTCCTTTCTATTCTGCACTAGTGAGGCCACATGTGGAATACTGTGTCCAGGTCTGGGCCCCAACTATAGAAGGATGTGGACAGGTTGGAGACAGTCCAGCAGAAGGCAACAAAAATGGTGAGGGATGTGGGGCACATGACTTCTGAGGAGAGGCTCAGGGAACTGGGCTCATCTCATCTGCAGAAGAAAAGACTGCAGGGGGGATTTAATAGCAGCCTTTAATTACCTGAAGGGTGGTTCCGAAGAGGATGGAGCTAGACTCAGTGGTGACAGATGACAGAACAAGGAGCAGTGGTCTCAATTTGCAGCAAGAGAAATTTAGGTTAGGTATCACGAAAAAACTCTCTCACTATGAAGTGGTGAAGCAGTGGAATATGTTAGCTAGAGAGGTGGTGGAATCAACATCTTTGGAGGTTTTTAAGGCCTGGCTTGAAAAAGCCCTGGCTGGAATGATGTAGCTGGGGTCCCCTCCAACCCTAATTTTTTTATGATTCTATGATATAAACAGCTTCTAAAGATATTAGAGTGGAAGGACATTAATCATTTGGCATAGTGGTCGTTGTCATTTCCTTCTGTATACACATTCCCAATTTTGGAGAACTATGAGTTCTGACAAAATTTAGTTTTTGATCTTAAATTTATAAGGAAGTATCAAATTCTAAAACATTAGACATTTTACTGAAACAAGGAAAAATAATATTTTACTCTTATGTACTTACTGTGTAAAATAACTTTAAGTTCAACAAGCAGTTTCTTTGACCCGCCATGGCTTGTACCGGGAAGTTTTTGCATTGCCTCTCCTTTCTTATTCAGTATTTCAATTCTTAATGCTCCTATTTACAAGAGGAAGACAAAGAAGACTGACTTTAGAAACTGTTTGGTTTTTGTTCCCAAGACTTTCTATTAAAATTAAAATATATGGCAATGTGTAAAAAACAAATTAAAAATGAAATAAAGATAGTGGCTGGAAAGAAAAATCATACCTATTGGAGTACCAGCAAGCTTTGTCTCATTAGGTAACAATTCATCTCCTTCAGGCCATGTTACTGACAATCGATCAGGAAGTCTAAAAAAAACCCCCAAAACCCCCACCCCTCTGATGATTAGTTTTTCTGTAAACAAAAACGGCACAATTCATTTTTAGTAGAATACAGCCAAAGTTTATACATAACCTATTATTAGAAAAAAAGTTTTTGAAAACTATTCCCTCCTTTAAGATTATGTGAAGTTCAGAGTTCAGAATTTTTGTTTCTACTGAACAACTGATTATCAGGACTTTGATACAGGGAGTAAAACTCTGAGCTACATTTTACAAATGTAACAATTTCTGAAGTACAAAAACTTGTAGTAAGGTTTTAACAAGTAAAAGCTCTTCATTATGTTTTAGATATTACCTTGCCATTTCATCTTCTATGTATTTTTTAACCGACTTGTCAGAAACTGTTCTGTCAAGTTTGGAGATTGGAATAATTTTTTTCTCACCATATAACGCTTGAGGTTCCTAAATAAATTCAAAATCCAGTTATCAGTAGAAATGCTGCTTTTACATCAAAGACTAATTAGATAGAACTTTAATACAAGATGCTGAATAGGTCTTTGTGGTGACTGCCTAAGTTATATTATGCTAAAAACTCAAGCATTGTGCTACTATGCAGCTACTTCTGACTATTCAGCAGTTCAATAATTATAAAATATACATGTTGTATTGCTACTGCCCTTATAGTTACCACAATTAAGTGTCAGAATTTCATCATATTAAACACGTACTAATTAATTAGGAGTACTGACATGTCTGCAACAGTTCCATCCTGAACTAAACAACTCACTCATTTTATTCAGTCTGGGATATAACAAATTAGCTCTGTAGGATCTATGCACTCATGCCCCCCTACCTGTGGAAAGGGTAAGGTTTTGTATCTGCTATACATATCATCATCCTGATTGCCGTCTTGGGGAAAGAACAGCTAGGTAGCCAGCTATTTGAAAGCTGACCTGTTAATACAATATAACTGCTTTGGTGGCGACTCAATGATTTTGGGAGTTCTGTTCCATTTGAATCAAGTAGTACAGTGGAGACTCCACAAAGAGAACTTCATAGGTTTCCAAGGTTTTGCACACAGGCACACAAAGTGAATACTTCTTATAACCTTCAATTTATCTGTTTTTAAAGTAAAAAGTAGACCGTATTTCTTTGTGTTCAAAATACACTGCAATTTTCCTCCAGAAAATCCTATCATCACCTTTCAAACTCCCTTACACTTAAACTATAAAGCACAGTGGAGAGATTAATTGAAAATATTTTACATGTACCTAATCACGCAAAGTTAGGGTTGAAAATTTAAATACACAAAATCCAAAAAATGTGTTAGTGAGCCTGAGCATAATACTGCAATATAGTACAAAATATAAATGAACTAGATCAGGGTGGCCAACCTATGGTATGAATGCCACAAATGGGATGGGCAGTCTCTGTATGCGGCATGTTGCAGATTGGGGAGGGAACAGGCAGCACCATGGCAGACAGAGCAGGGAGTAGAAAGCAGAGCATCAAATCAGGCAGAGGGCACAGGCCAGGATGCAGAAAGCAGAGCCACACCATAAGCAAGAAGCACAGGGAAGGGAACAGGAAGCTGGACAGCAATCCATGTAAAGAAAGGGCTTGGGATGGCACTTGGACAGGGTGCAGGGGTAATTTTTGCTACACCTGCCAGAGAGGATGGCCCCCCACACTTTACTAAGTCTTATTATAAGTGGACTTGCTTAATCTAGTATGAGAAAAGAATACATTTTAGCACTAAAATTCTTTAAAAAAAATCTAATACTAGGATCTAAAAGCAAAATGTAGTATGTTTCAGAATATTTAGTATCTGCTTTTATGTTTGACTTACTAGAGATATTTCAACTTCCCCTCCAGTAGCATACACATCACCATCATGATCTCCATACAGAAAAAATTTAATGATACTTCCATAGAATATTGGGAGAGTTTTAATTGTTTTCACCTAAAAGAGAAGAAGACAGTTAAGTCATTCAATCAAAGCTGCTTCTAATTACTCAACACGTATAGTTCGACCATAGGAAATTACAAATTGAAAATAGATGCATTTACATTAACCATTACTCTCATTACATGGACACTAAAAAAACCCTTTATGAATACAGACACTCATTATTTTGTACAAGTGCATGACTCAAAGTTTATAGTTCGGTCTCCGGTAGAGGAGGTCTCTCAATGCTAGAAGCTGCAGCGAGAGAGGAGCAGAGGGTGGATGTGCCTTGCTCATCTCTCCACTCTACATCCACCCTCTGCCACATTGCATAGATTACTGGGTTATACAGACCTATGGCTTGACTCAGTAAATGGCGGTTCTTAAATGCTTAAGTAACTGGGGAATGCCTCAGAGCTTCTGTGAAGACAAACCACAGATTAAGTCTGTAACCAGGTTCAATTATAAGACCTAAATTATCCATCTTATAAAACTCTGGGTAGAAGAAACTGTTTGACCTAAAAACTGCCTATTTTAATCAAAAAGTTAAAGGGACACTTCCTCCAAAATACAAAAAATGAATAATTTTTAGTCATAGGAAATGAAAAGAAACAAACAAACCCGATTTGAAACTGACACATTTGTGCCAAGTTACTTGTTACTACCCTCCTTGAATTTAACAAAGTTAATTTCTTCCCCAGAGAAAATAATTGAAGAAAATAGATAGTGATAAATAGGGGAAGAGATTGTTCTTGCCTAGTTATAGAATCACAGGAAAACAGGGCTACGGGGCCTCCAGAGATCACTCAGTCAAACCCCTGCCTGTGGCAAAATTATCCCTGTCCAAGCCATCCCATACAAATCCATGGCTAACCTATTACTAAGACCTTGTTGCAATGACGAGGCATAGCTGCCTAACCTGCCACATGCGACACAGGGATCAACGGAGGTCAGCATCCTGCTGCTGCAAAAATTGATAAAATACACACTAGGAAGTCCCTGTAGCCACGAGCCTCTGCATTTTAGTGCCAGCAGCAGCACACCCCAGTCAAAATCCCCTGCCTGGGCTGCAGCCAACACCAAATGCTTCTGAGGAAAACTGAAAAAGGTCTGACTCGTAGTAACAGCAAAAGAAAAAATTCCTTCTTGGTCCCATCAGTTTTTCCTGATAGCCAATTTAAACTTACATTCCTGCAACTTCAGCCCATATCTGAAAAGGTGGTCCCCTTCTTCTTTATGAAAGCCGTTCAGGTATTTGAAGACTGCTATCATGTCTCCTACTCACCTTTTCCACCAGCTGAATGTGCCTATTTCCTTCAACTTCTCCTTATATAGCTTGCCTTTCAAAGCCCTTTATCATTTTTGTTAACCACCTCTGGACCCTAACTTCTACATGTCCATTTTAAAATGTGAAGCCTCAAACTGCACGAGGCTTAATCAGTACTGAATAAAGAGACACTATTACCTCTCATGTCTTGCTTCTAATAATTTATTACACTACACCACAAAATTGATAGTTTCACACAGAAAGACTCCTTCATTGGCTAAATTTTTTGACCCTGTACCTTACAGAAAAAGTCTAGTAACTAAAAAAACCCCTTTAAAATATTACATTCCAAAATAAGCTGACTTCACAACCTTGACAATGTTATTTTCAGGTGATCAATTAATGAACATAGTTGGCAGCCAGGAAGGAGGAGAGAGAATCACCTTAGAGCAGCAAAAGTACAATTTAGAGATTACTTGAGAAACTATATTTTCTAGGACTGGATGAGAGTCATTCTTGGGGAAGAAAAAAAACCCCATCAAGTAACTGGCTGAGATAAAAAGAATAGCCAATGGCTTTACAATTGAGAGGCCGAGCGAGATTTTAGATGATTAGAAAAGAGTTAATACAGAATTCATCTTTAAGAAAGGAATGGAGGAAGATCTGGGTGTTAGGAGCTGGTCAGGCTGACCTCCATACCTGGAAAGATTATGGAGCAGGCAGGTCAGAGACACCAGTTCTAAGCACTGAGAGGACAGCAAGATGATCAGGAACAGCCAACACGGATTTATCAAAAACAACCTGATGTCCTCTTATGACAAGGTGACAGGGCTTTGTGGACAGGGAGAAAGTAGAGGATATGATAGTCTGATTTCAGCAAGATGTTCTATGCTGTCTCTAATGACATTTTTATTAGTGAGCTAAGGAAATACATTTGAGACAACAGCCCAGCACTTAGAATGAAACGAGTATACACACAACTAGACTGAAGTATTGCAAAACAGGCCCTGGGGGATGTAGAGGTCTGCAGGATAAATGAGCCAGCACTGTGCTCTTGTTGCAAAAAAGAGCAACAGTAGACTGGGTTGTATTAACAGAAGTGTCATTTGCAAGTCATGAAAAGTGATTCTCTTCCACTCTATTCAGCACTGGTGAGGCCTCACCTGGAGACTGTGCCTTGATTGGCTGCTGAACTTTAAGATAGATTTGGACAAAAGAGTCCAGGAGACAGCACCAAAAATGATTAGGCATCTAGGAAACATGATTTTGAGGAAAGGCTGGAAGAACTGGGATCATTTAGCCTGAAGAATAGAAGCCCAAGGTGAGATCTGACAAGTCTAACAAAAAATATAGTACTTACTCTATATACTGTATATGTTCTACAATATGTACCTAGCAACAAGCAATTAACTTACCAACTGCCCAGATTTGTATGTTTTCCCATCCCACTCTATTGAAGCATAGGTAGCCCAAGGGCTCTGCATTCTTTTCGATGGCAAGTCAGTACGAGCAGATGATCCTTTAAAAAGTACGAATTTTATCTGTTTGTCGTATTTTTCATGACAGTCTTTGAGCCACAAAGCAAATTCTCTGTCTATTTTCATTCGCTGTTCCTGTGAAGGGTTTTAGTAGATGTATCACCAATTTCACAGCATAAACAGAAACTTCAGGTTTATAGTTGAGCACAGAAACATGGATGTCAAGTTAAATTTAAAATGGTGAAAAAATATGGCATTATAGGTAAACTGTTTTATGCCAGTGAATATATAAAATATCTTAAGTAATGAGTTAGTTTCAACATTTTCCTAATGCAAATAGGAAGTTACCTAAAATAAGTTTCTTTTAGTTTATAACTGATCACATAAATATAATAAAGCATAAGTAAAGCAAGAAATGAGTCACCCTCTACCACTTTAAAGCAACAAAAAAAGTTAAGATTCTTGCTTTATTTGATCATTTCTTAAGCAAAAATAATTTTAAAAGCCTTGTGCAAACTTCTCTAGTGAACTATCATAGCACACAGAGCCAAAGTTTGTTGATGTGACAGTTAACCACTAAGAAGTGAGCAATGGCTTCCTAAGTAACACTCACTGAATCATGGCAAGTAAAAATAACAAAAGATTAAAATGATCACCTGTCCATTGAAGATTCTTGTGAAAAGAGTGTTCTTATCTTTTAGTTTTAACTCCAGGTCCATAAAAGTTAGCTTGTTTGTGCTGACTTGAAACTTATCATTGGTAAATAACACACCAGAAATTCTGTTGTAGCATTCAACCGGTGCAAGTCCTCTCTTTTTTGGAGGCGCACACCAGTCAAAACTTAAATAGAAAGAGAAAAGTCGATAAATTCTTCAATTTCAAAACCAGCAACAGGTAAAACTATGGAAATGGGAAACACTTACTCTTCTACAGTTGTGTACGGAATTAACCTTCCATTCCAAAAACATTCAAATATAGGCCTTTTCCCTCTGGCCCCTTTTTCTACCACAAAGCAGTCATCATTAACATCGTCATCATCATCCTTTAATCCTTGATTAAAAAGAACACAGAAGAGTTACCATGAAACAAAACTCCAAAACAATACAGAAGAACATTATCAGGAACAGATATACATGCAGCAAGAGTCATTTAATTTGTTAAATTATACATATTAGCACTGTACACTGGTCTCAAGCAAAATATATTTATGAGCAGTATACACAGATTAACTTTCATTTTAAACACCGCGAAAAAGCACTACACAAAAGTTTAGGACAGATAGTGAAGGACACTGAATCAGCCTAAAATTGTAGGGTAACTTAAGCTGATATAAATGTAAACATCAGAATTAGAATGTGGCCACTAATTTTAAGACATTAGATTTAATACACTAATCTCTTAAAAATTGTAGTGAGGTCCGTAAAATGTGTAAATACAGACTACTGAATCAAACACTTTTTATGCAGATCACTGATGATATCTGGAAGTCCCACAACCAAGTATTTACACAGCCTGGCTCTACTTAGTTTACAGTATCTGACAGAATCACACAATGTTATAAATTTGAATTTATTTTAAAAAGTATTAAAACTTAAAATAATTTTAAACTATAGTTTTTAAATTCACTTTTTTTTTACCAAAGTAGTTTTAAAATAAATTTCACTCACAGAATGAGATTCTGAATATTAAGTTACAACCTACAGAAAATTACTAGAGCAGAAATGTAAGTGCATGGAAATAATTCATAGCTTTGTAAAGTTTTAGGACAGAAGAGATTATAAGATCCTTTAGCCTGCCCTCCTTCATATAACAGGCTATTACACTTCACCCAGATATCTCTATAGTGAACTTAAGTTCCCTAAAGTCTTAGTGCCAAGGATACTAAACTGTTGTGTAGCACAGGCAAACAACAGAAGAGAAAGAAGCAAAATGTCACCAATGTTAGAGATTAAATACCTCATTTATGAATATATCACATTCATCTTATCCCTCTAAAATGAATTATTAAAAATTGGAGTGTGTACCTTAAAGAAGGAAACCGATTCTGAATGATCTGATTAAGAGGAAAAATCTTTTTTCTCTTCATTTTGCCTCCCCAAAACAAGGTGCATGCCCTAGTTGTAGGTGCATGGTATGTGAATAGATATGGTATGCCTGAATGGCTCTACAGTCATAGATCACAGCAAAACTGATAGTTCTAATAGATATGACCTATTTTACAGCTGCATTGCTCTTTTGATGTTCCAAAATCTTGTAAGAATTGTCAATACGTTTTTGCACAGAAGATGACCAAATGTTTTTGAAAGTGACTTATGAAAGTCACCAACAGTGGGGAAGGGGAAAGAAACAGTACTGATTTTTACAACTTAAGTCTGTTGCTAGTTTTTACATCCTTCTTGTGAACATGGACATAGTTTCTCTCTTTGATTTCTTCATTGCTTATCACTTCAAAATGCTAGAGAATATTTTCCTACTAAAAAGTTCCAAGATCATGCTGAAAAAGTCAAGGCCTAGAGCTTTATTGTGAACAGCATCACATTACGAAATACAAAACTAATAAGCAAATAGTCTGTGCTATATTTACAATGTAAACCAATGAATGTACTGAAATACCAGAAAACAAGAAAGCTGAAAAGCTTCAACAAGGCTACAGTCCATCAACATTTATAGATGGAAATCTGTAGAACCTACGCTCCTGAGAGCACAGGCAGTTCTCAGTAATTTAAGAGTCATATAAAAAGCGAGCAAGCCAACAATGTACAATGCCATAGTGCTACAATCTGGCCAAACCTCATAAAAATGACCCTAGATGAAACCAAGGTAACTGAGGCATTTCATGTCACTTCTGTCCCCTCTGTGATAGAGCCTGAGGAACTGGTCAACCCAACAGCATCCTACAGATCCTGAAACCTCTCATCTCCCCCAAGTGACCTCTGTGTAACTAATTCCCAACTCTACTGCCTTGGAGCCATAGGAAAAAATATTAAGGCAAGTGAATTCATATGCTTGATGTCAACATGAACAGATCAGGGTTTTAATTTTCAAGAATTTGATTTTTGACTATCACAGTTAATGCAAAATTCAAGTAAAGTATTCTAGCTATAGAATCATTTAAAATAAGTGCTATTTAAAAATAAAACGGCACTACAGATTTTAACAGTAGCTTTCCAAAGCCTCCAATTAATTTAGTTTGGGATTGGGCAACTCTTTGGGCCCAGGAGCCATATACGGAGTTCTGACTAATTGTTGCGGGCCAGGTCAGTACCTCCCTGCTCCACTGCAACAACTCACTAAAACTCCCTATGTGGGATGGAGCTGCGGGCAGGCAGGGAGCAGTGTTTGGGAGCAAGACGGGCAGGTGAGGCTGGGATCATGGGATGGCCCCTCCTCGGGGGGGGGGCGGAGGAGAAAAGAGGATCAAAGGTGTGTGGGGGGTAGGCATGGGTGTTTGTAAGCATGTGTGTGTGTGTGTGTGTGTGTGTGTGTGTGTGTGTGTGTGGGGGCGGGGTTGCCTGGGCACTAGGTCCTGGGAGCTGGCTGGGATGGAGAGGAAGGGGAAGAAAGGGAGAGAGGAGACAAGGGGCATGTACTGCCTGGACGAGATCTGCTGTGTGGTCCATGGCTACCTCCTGCACCACTCCGAATGGGGCTGAGCCCGGGCTTCTCCCACCTGGGGCAGCCCATATTGCACTCCAAGCCTGGGCAGCATGCACAGCTTCTGGTGGGGCTGCTCCTGGTGCAGCTGCAGTCACTCATGTGCTGCTCTGCTCCTTGTCTCCAGTGGCTCCTCCTCCTGCTGCACTGCCCCTGGCTGGGAGGAAGCTTCAGCCAGGTAGCTCCTGCCCCAGCTCATGGATGCCTTCCATCTGCTCTGCCTGCCTGGGAGCTGGAGCCAGAGCCCTGAATGCAGGAGCAGGAGGAGGAACTGCTGGAGGCAAGGGGAGCAGAGCAGCACCTAGGCAGCTGCACTGGGAGCAGCCCTGCCGGATGCTGGCTGGGGCTGGGCCAGTAGGCACGGGCTGGAGTGTGGCATGGGCTGGGCTCAGCCCCATGCTGTGGTGGCAGTTGCGGGCTGAATCAAATCAATTGGCAGACACCTCCTACAGGCCAAATCCAAATCAGCTGGTGGGCTGGATCCAGCCCATGGGCCGTATTTTGCCCATCCCTGATGCAGTTCATGATTTAACACAGATTTAAACTTTTCTACCTTCCTGTCATTTTGTTGCCATTCGTTGTTCCCATGTCAATTCCTAATATAATGGAAATCACACACAAAAATAATGCAGATTTTCCCAATTTGAAATTGTAAAAATTAACCTCTAATATTTTAGGTAGATTCTATATATAATGATAAATGATCTTATTTATTGAAAAAGATGAAATATTACATATTTAAAGAAAACTGTTTTGAGGTAAATAATGTAATTTAACTGACTTACTTGATGGAAAGCATGGGTCATCAGGATAAGTTTCTTTATCATATAAGAAAGGATGATAGCGGATGATGCCTTCCACTATACCTTCCCCTTCAACATGTGCCTTAAACTCAAAGCCATCTGCTGCAGTCTTTATATACAATGTCTGCATGTCATCTTTGATCTCTCTAAGATTGACAATCTTTGGTATCTTTCCTTTTTCAAACATTGAAATCTAGAGGGTAAAAAATAATTTTTATTTTTTTCTTAGATGAAATCAGTGTAAAATATCATAAATGGCAGTAAGCACATTATTGAAATAAAGCAAAGTTCCAGCATCAGATTAGTAAACTGCTATATTATCTTAATTTTCAGTGGAAACTGTATACGTTTCAAAATACCACAGCATTTCCAAACAATTAACAATAAATATGACTAAAGCGATGCGTTAGTAACATGTGAATAAATAACAACAATAAGGCTTTTCTGTATATCCTACCTCAATATCAATGTTGTTGAAAGGACTTGCTTCCTTTAGAGCTGCACTAATTTCATTTCCTTTTGGTCCATGGATATAGTAGTGGTAGATGTGTCTAAGGTTTACATATTTTTAAATTAATAAAAAAAAGCACACAAGATGAAAATGTAATACAACTTCTATAAAGCTTAAATATATTCATGTTATACAAAAAAGGTTGTTTGTTTTTTTTAATTAGTCCTTTTCAGCAAAAGTAAAGTATCAAGCTATTGATCTACACAGATATACTTATTTGCTAGCAGACTTATCAAAACAGAAAACAGCATTTGGATATGAAGAAAGACTTGGGAAACAGGAAGATAATCACTTGCTATCTTTCATGGTTAAGGGTGACATGTAACAGTATGAAAATGTACTGCCTGAGTGACTGTCTCTTATTGTGAGACATAAAATAACAAAAAGTACAGTAAATTGTTGTGAGATGTACAGATGAGAAGTGCCATTTGAAAGCTAGGTATATTTACTGATTCTGACATCAAGCAGCTTCATAATGGTCACACGGGGCATTTTTACACATGCTCCTGATGTAGCTCCAGGCACTTTTAATTAGCAAACTGCACTTATTAAAAGCACCTAGAGCCGTGTTGGGAGTACTTGCATCAGCAGCGCAGCATGCCTCCACACTGAGAAAATGGCAGTATGTGGTGCCCTGAGTTGGCACTGTGAGTATAGTCCTGTGCTGCGGCCAGGGTCCCCTCAACTTTCCTGCCACGACTTGATAGTATATGTAAAAGAGGGGGTTCAGTGGTCTTCTTTCCCCTTTTGACCCAAAGCCAGGATACTCATGGGTGCGCTGCGGTTGTCCTCAGGGCTCTGCCTCCTTTACACCCCATCCACTTCAAAGCCGCTCAGGTCTTTGTGCTCGCGCCCCAAGAGGGTATCCACCCCACAACTGTGGGTCCAGTGTGGGCACCAACGATCCGGCTGGCCGTCGGGATCCTACCTCAGTCCTGAGGCTCCAGACCCTGCCCTCAGAGTCTGAGCAGCTGGAGTTAGGTGATCCTCACAAGGAGGATCGCCACCTTGGAACCCTAATGCTCCGGGGCCGGAAGCTGCCCGTCCCCAGATGGGTGCCAGCTATTGCCCCTGCTCCTCTGCTGTGGGGCAGTGGCTCCAGGACA